AGGAATGGTCATACCACAGTCCCTACAATCCCTTCTCCATTTCTCCTTTTGGTATTTTGTGCACACACACACACACACACACACACACACACAGGTGGTATGTTTCCCAAGTCATGAGGTCTGGAACTTGCCTCAACTATCATGGCACTGGTTGACCCATATTAAATAAAATGTAAAATCATTCCGTTTATATGGTGGGGTGGCACAGAACTGAGAGAAGAGATTGACGGGTTGACAACAGACAATGGAAAAGGAGGGAGGAAAGTAAAGAACAGAAAGAGAAGTGAAAAGGACGGAGAGATATATGAGGATTGTCATTCATTCATTCACTCATTATTCAGCAAATATTTATTTTGTGCCCAGGGTATCAGACTCCTGGTAGTAAACAGAGAATTAATCAAGCAGGAACATATAAAGACTGGTTGCTCAAGAACAAGAGATGAAAGATGATCTTCTACCTACTCCTTTGCATGGCTGAGAACTATATCCACCTCTTCCTCTGCATCCACAGGCTACTTGTGATTTGCTTCAGGCATCTTCCCTGACCCTGTTCTGTTTATGACCCCCTGAGGATACTGAGGACTACAGTTATGCAGCCATTCATTGACTAGAAAAAAATGTTGATTAATTGTATTCTATGTTCCATGCATTGTGCTGGGCCTGGGAATACAATAACAAATGAAACTCTCTCTGCCCTCCAAGCATTTGCAGTGTAGGTATGTTTGGTGTCAAGGAAATGAGTAAATAATGATCCTATGTGATAATTGCTGCTGTTAGTTGGTCACCTTAGTCTGGGGACCAGGAAAATGGTCCCAGAGAAAGAGACAACTAAGTTGACATTCCTCTTGCTGTCTCTTCTTTTTAAAAAATTTCGTTTGAATAAACCATTTGTAAAAACCTTTAGTTTGCTTCATAGCTCTGAAAAAATTCATTTTACTTTGATTCAAATGTTAGCAGGGGGCAGCAGGTGGCATGGGTGGGTAAGATAGCTGGATCCTGTATGGCCATCTGCACAGTTCAAGTACTGGCCCAGAGGCTGAAAACCATGCTGGGCATACGCCCAAGGTTCTGCAAGGAGTAAAATAAGGAGAAGGGATTGTGGCAGGGCAAACCACCACCACCACCACCACTCCCCCCTCCCCCGGAGGGTATGTTCTTTCTCTTTCTATCTCTTAGGTGCGCTCTCTCTCTCTCTGCCTCTGATGACTGCATCTGCCCTATAGCAATTTAAAAAAAAAATTGATAAAAGTTAGCAAGTTAGATCTTTTTGATCTAATTTTTTTGTTGATAGATTACTTCGACTCAGGGTCTTATGATTATACTTTAAAATGTGTGTTGAAATTTGTATGTTCCCACAAAAAAATGCCCATTTAAAAATGTTTTCAAAAAAAGTCTTTTGTCCTATATTTTTACCATCCATTTTTTACATAAAGAAATATAGGCAATACCTCTTGCAGCTTAATGAAAAACAGATGCCTTGGAAGTAATTTAACTACTATTTGTTTAAAACATGCATATGTACACTAACCTATTTCCTGATTTGAAACTGTAGTATTGTGGGCCTTTTAGAGGAAAAATGTCAAATCTTGATAGGTTGCACTAGATTTCATGTAAGAACTATTTGGAGCAAGGGGAGAGTCTCAAAGGACTGAACGCTGTTTTATACTTTGTGTTTTCTCATCTCTACTGATTTAGAGAAATGTGTGGTTTCTGCTTTTTCCTTTAGAGAAACTTTATAATGGTTCAACATCCATTCATAGCCACTGGTTCATCTTGGCTGTAATGGCCTCTTCTACTTTTTTTTTTTTTTTTTTTTCCTTTTTTCTTTTGATGGACTCTGTAATGTTTGCTCCTAAATTTTATCTCCAGCCCTAACTGCTCCCATGAACTCATTTTTAGTCTTGCCTTAAATGTCTAACAGGCCATTTCAAATTTAACCTAAGTAAAACACAACCATGGACTTTCTCTCAACTTCCTGCAACCAAACCCAGTCCTCTCATATACTTCGTCATTCTAGTAAGTGGCAACTACAATCTTCCACTTGTTTGGACTAAAAGCTCAAGCACCATCCTTGATTCTTTCTGCCCCCTAAGCAGTCCTTAAGTCAGTCCCATTGGCAGTACTACCATCTTCTCCCCACTTCTGCCACCACCCGTCTCCAGTTCCCCATCAGCTCTATTGCACTGACCTCCTGTTTTCACTACCTCCACCCTTGCCTTCTTTCTACATGGCGGCCAGAGTGATTCTCGTAAAACAGAAATCATATCCATTCACTTCTTGGCTCAAAGTCAGTCTAGTAGCTTTCTGTATCATTCAGAATAGAATCCAAACATATCTAAGGCCTTATATGATCTGTCTACTTCTCTGACCTCATATTTTTTCTCTCTTCTTATCTACTCCACTTTGGCCATGCCAATGTTTTTGCTGTTAATCCATACTCCTACCCCAGGGCATTTTCATTCATTCTTTTTCTTGACATGAAATTTTATTGCCTATGTATGCACAGGTTTATTTCCACAGATCTTTCAATTCACTGCTTCAATGTTCCTTTATCTTAGACAGCTTTTCTGATTTCTTTTTTCCTGTGTTACTTTACCTTATTTTTCTTCATATATTCATCCACATGTGACCTTTTTTGTTTTTAATGAGTGGTGTATTGTTTGTTTGTTTTGAACCTATCTTTCCTTCTAGAACGTGGGCTCCATTAACGAAGGGACTTTGGTTTTTTCCTTCAGTGCTATTTCTTCAACACCTGTTGAAGCAATGATGTGTGGTCAGAACCTAGATTTTCTGATTCTAAATCCAGTGTTCCTTCTATGCTTCTGTGTGGCCTCTCACGTATTTAACTTATTCCACAAATGAGGCTTTGAAGTGCCTTGAATACAGTGACTGTGGTTTTCATTTTTCTGCTTGCCCTATCCTCCCATAGTGTACAGGACTACGCCTTATTCCCAATGAGGGGCTCCATGTGCCTGATAAATGCCATGGTGTGACCAACGGGCTCCAGTGCTTATGACCTGTCATCAACTTGGGTCACAACCTCACTCAGGGTGTACTTCACTCTTTGGAGTCATAAAAGATAGTATACTATTACCCATCAGGCGCAAAATAGAATTTGGAAATTACTGGCAGTTTGAGTAAAAGTTTGATATGATAGGAGTCTAATGTTCAATAAATAGGTTATTTGTATTCTAAATTTTGAAAACTTAATGTAACTTTTTAACTCTGAGAGTGAGGGTTCTTAGACGGAAATGAATAGTTCCATGCTGGTTTAAGTGTGGCTTTTATTTTAGGATGTTGATATTTCTGCTGTGAACCACCTGATGTTCTTAAGGGGAGTATACCCTAGATAAATTCCTTTGCAAATCAAAGGGTATCTGTATTTGGCTTGGATTGTTCCAAAGCAGCTAATAAAGACTCCTACATTTTATTTTGGAAAGTTTTCTTCTTTTGCCTATGACATGTCTTAAGTGACTATGGTAATACTGATTGTCTCCCCCTTGTTTTTACAGGTGATCTGCAATTCTTTCACCATCTGTAACGCAGAGATGCAGGAAGTTGGTGTTGGCCTGTATCCTAGGTATGATGGATGGTACTTTATTTACTGCAAGACACAATTTGAATGCCCACTCGGCTTTCCTGGCCTTTGGAGGTAGATAGAAAGGCTATTAAGCAGCTGGTTCGAGAGCGAAGCTTGAAACTTAATGATAAATTACAAGAAAATGGAAAATGTTAAGTGTAAAGAAAACAGTTTTATAACCCTTCATTATATGTTGGGTATTAACAAAGAGGCAGACCTCAGGCTCGAATTCTTGTTCTTGGGGACACTTTGGGGTAAGAAGTTTAGGATTGTTAGGACCAGAGGATGGAGTATGGTTACACTACTGGATTCCCACATAGTCTACTGTGGTTCGAGTCCTGGACCCAGCAGCTTAAAACTCACACCAGGCCACATGCACATGAATGCCCCAAATCCCAGTATGCGAATGGAGGAGAAGGGATTGCTGCATGGCCATATCCCCAGAGGCTGATTTCTTGCTTTCTGCCTCCCAGTCTCTTTCTATCTCTCTGGAGAGTCCACATGACCTATAGCAAAAATCTCTATCTCTCTGAGAAAAAAAAAAAGAAAGAAAACTTCTAAAAAAAAAAAAAAAAAAAAAAAAGGCGGGGGGGGGGGGAGTTGATTATTCTCCTAGCCCTGCCCCAGTGGGTTATTATCTCTCAGCCTCCTGGGCTGATGCACATGGTTATCTCACCAGACGACTGAACTGCACCAGTGGGTTGATTTTGACTTTTGAGTCTATACTCTGAGACTCATCACTTAAGGAGGTAAGGAACATTTGCAGGATTTGGGCCTCCGAAGTGTTCTCTCAGCTCTCCTAGAGATGACCTTTATCACTGAGCTACTAGACTGTCCTTCCATAAGCATTGTAGTTTCATTTTGTTTTTAGGACATTGGGGTCCAAATCAAATAGAGTCTTCTTATAATTAATTGTGAATCTGAGAATTCAGCTTCTCTAATTTCTCAAAAGTGTCCTTAGCTATAATAGATCAGATCTGTTAATAGTGGTTCTCAGAAAAAGTAACATGGGCTCTGAGTCCAGGCTACCTGGTTCAATCCAGTTACCACTTACTATTGGGTTGCTGGAAAAGTCATGACTCATTTTTACATAGAAAAAAATACATGATGACTTTTCTGACAACCCAATAGCTGTGTGACCTTAGACAAGTCCTTTAACTTCTGTGTGTCAATCTCTTCATTTTGATCCTCATAAGATTGTTGTGATGATTAAATTTGATAAACATGCTCAAATGCTAAGAAAGTACTTTCTGCATAGAAAGTGTTCATTCTAATTGTTATTCATTTGTAGCATTAGCTTAAATCTATTCTCTTTCCCACATGGTAACAAATGTACCTCCAAGGTAATAAATGAATAGGCCATGGCCCAAACTGCATCAGAATCTAGTTAGCAAGAGAAATTTCAGCTTACTGTTTAAGAGGAAGTATTCCTAATTATTCTTCACTGTGGACACTCCAGCAACAGTTCCTCTAAAGGAGCTCTAAATGAGATCCTGTGTGGGAGAGGTCACTGGTATCTTGGCAGCATGATTGCTGCTGCATCCCATGATCTTAGAGATCATTTCTTTGCAAGTTTCTATTTTCCCCTTCCTCTTCATATTGGGTTGCCTCATTGGTTGGTACCTAATGAGACAACACTCTAAAAAAAGGACACAGAAAATGTTTTTATTAACAAACTTCTCTAATGGACCTCCATCATGGGAAGAATTGCATTTCACATAAGTGGACTAGTGATGTCTTGGTGAGCACACCCAGAGTACCCAATCCCTGGTGTTCTGTCATTCATACTCTCTTCTGCCTCCCACCCTGATGTGTCTTTTGCCCATTGCAATCACTAAATTTCGCTGCTTGACTATCTGCTGAGTCATGATGGTCTCTCACTCCCCTTTTTTTTTCTTTCCTCTAGTATGTCTTTGCTTAATCACAGCTGTGACCCCAACTGTTCGATTGTGTTCAACGGGCCCCACCTTTTACTACGTGCAGTCCGAGACATCGAGGTGGGCGAGGAGGTAAGGAAACTCATGTGACCCACTGGCTGGCTTTCTTTCCCATCAAAGAACCTATTAACATGGCTGATTCCTGAAACTATTGATAGTTATGTTTGAAGGACAGCTGTTCATTGTCCTTCTGCCAATGAGAAAACACATAATATATTTAATCACCTTTATCCAGCAACTAGTCGTTACTTCTCCCAAATTATAAATGGACTTATTCTCTCTCTTTTTTTTAATTCCATCACCATATTTCTGGATGATGACAGTTCCTACTGTATGTGTGTGAGGGAGAGAGAGGTGTGTACATGTATGGCAGAATGTGTGTTTTAAAGTCATTAAAACTCTTTGATAGCACAGTGGGTAAGGCAGCATGCTAGCTGCATGATTTGAGTCCCAGACCTGGTGGCTTGAAAAATGTGCCAGATGTGTGTGCATTCATGTCCAAAATCCCGAGAGGAAAATGGAGGAGAAGGGATTGTGGTGGGACCATGCCCCCTGGGCAGTGCTTTCTCACTCTTCCCCACCCCTGTGTCTCTTACTCTTTCTCTCTCCAACAAGCACATGCTCCCTATGGTAAATTTAAAACAACAAGCTCTCACATTCCTGCAAACAGTCATCCTTCTGTGGGCAAAATAGACAACCCCACTTGTGAATGGGGTCCCCAGGACTTGCTTAATCCCAATGAAGGACACTAATTGCATTTTGAAAGTCATTGCACATTTTTACTTTCATGTTCAGAAAGTAAACATGTTTTACTCATTTAGGTTGCCACTGGGCCTTTAAGGTTCCCTTCAGCATCTCTGGGTGATCAGTTAAGCAAAGCTGCAAAAAGAATAGAGTATGACCTCTAGCGGTGAATTGGCCTTGACCTTTGTGGTTTCTCAGACAGCCAAGTTGTCCCCTTTGTGTGAGGAACCTTCATAGAGGCCCAGTGTCTCACAAATCAACTACAACTGAGCTGCACAAGAGCTGCTAAACCTGAGCCCACATGGAGTTCATACAGTTACTACCTATCTGGGATATACATATTTATGCCTGGTAGAACTCAGTTTGCTTCTACCTTCCAATTTGCTAAAGTGGACATTTATTGCAAGGAAAATAGAGTATCATAAGCTTTTATTGCATTTATGCAGCACTCAGCCAGTAAAATCTAAACTCAGAGGCCCCATATATGTAGACAGGGACTTGGCTTTGACGACACTATTTCCCAAATGTGAATAAGCCACTTCTTACGCAGCCACTTGCTGAATTTCCAATTTTAAGAACCAGTATACTGGAACCAACAGATGGCGTAATGGTTATGTCACTAGACTCCCACGTAGTCGACTGCAGTTCGAGTGCTGGATCCAACAACCTAAAACTCATGTTAGGTGCATGTGCATGTGCACCCAAGATCCTGAGAGAAAAATGAAGGAGAAGAGATTGCAGTGTGGCCATTTCTCTCCCCTGGGGATGTGATTTTTCTCTTTCCATCTCTTTGTCTCTCTGAGTCGCTCCAGAGAGTGCACATGACCTATAGCAAAAATCTCTCTCAAAAAAATAAAAGAAAAGAAAAGAACCAATGTAGTAAGTATATTGGGATGTCTACCAGTGATATGAAGAATTTAGGTTTCTGTTTGTCTTTTCCTGGAGCCACATATGACGTCAACATAGGTAAGCCAGGGAATCACTGTCTAAAGTAAAATGTATTAGGAATAGAGTTTTCAGAAATAGTAAAGAGGGAACCAGCAGTTAGCGTAATGGCTATGTCGCTGGACTCCCACGTAGTCGACCACGGTTCGCGTCCCAGACCCGGTGGCTTAAAACTCATGCTGGGCGCGTGTGCGTGCATGCCCAAGATCCCGAGAAAAGGGAGGAGAAGGGATTTCAGCGTGACCATCCCCACTAGGGGGGGATTTCTTGCTTTCTGTCTCTATGTTTCTCTCTGTCTGTCTGGTGAGCGTATGCGCCCTATAGCGAAAACTTCTCGAAAAAAAAAAAAAAGAGTAAAGAAACTTTTTTATATTTTATTTTCTAGATTTAGTTGCCAGTTATTCTCTTTTTATTTAGTTGAAAAAAAATCTTGTATTTTAGTGCTTATTTTCTTTATCCACATGCTTCTCTTTCCTTCTCTGTAGCAATAGGTAATCCTTCCTCTTGCTTAATACAAAATATTTTGCTTAACATCAGGCCCAACAGATTCAGGTATTTTCTTGTATGGAACTTATCCAGGCATCTTCGTAACAAAAAGAAGCATCTCCACATAGGCCCTTATACCTGCTTATGAGGAACCTTCAATTTCCTCCATCTCCCTGTGTGTATCTTGGTGAAGAATATTCTCTCTGCTCAGTTGCCCTTCCTCTCTCTGCTCACTGTTTCCACCTGAATGATGTCATGTACCCTTTGAGGCCCTTTTAAACACCACCTCTTCCATAGAGCTTTTCTGGTTTCCCACATTAAAGGACGATCTTTCCCTCTGCAGTCTCCCTTCTAGTGGTTGTTCATTTATCTTTGCTACTTACTGTGTGACTTCTGTCTTCCTCGGCACTAACTTAGTGACTTCTCTATTCAGCCCTGAGCTTCCTGAGGACAGGCATTTGTGTCTTACTTATTTTTCCTAGCACTTTGCCTTGCATCTAGGAGACATTTGGTAAGTCTGTTCAATTGACTCAGTTAAACTGAGGACACTGTGCAGACCAGCAGGGTTTCTAGTGGGGGGCCCTATTGGCATTCTGGATAGAGCAGTTCTTCATTGTGTGGGACTATTGCATCATGGCTTAGTTAATGCCTGTGGCCATTCCCAACAACTAAAATATATCCCATATGTTTAAAATGGATCCTTTGAGGCAGAGGTAGGAGAGAGAAAGAACTACTAGAAAAGACATTTTGAGGCATTAAGAGGAGTAATTCTTATTTATTGTGTAAGTGCTATATTAGCCTTAGTTAAATTACAGGAGTAAATTTAGATAGTTTAGTGATTTCATAACATCAAGTTTGTGTTTTAGCTTTAATGCTCACTAAGGCATCCCAATTTTTTAAAGAATTATTGTATTTATTATGATTATTATTTTTCAGTTTGACAGAGAGAGACAGAGGGAGAAGAAGGTGGGCAAACAAGCTGTCCAGTCTGGGACTCAAACCACAGTCAGCCATATGGGAGTCCAGTGCCTCAACCAGCACATTACCTGCTAGCCCCAATTTTTTAACAATTTATTCATTTTTTTTTCTCCCATGAATGACAGAAAGAGAGCAAAAAAGAGACAGAGAGATAGAGAGACCTCCAATCGGGTCTCGATGCCCTGATTCACCTCAGCCTTGGCAGTCCCAGATCACTAACATATGTCTGCCTAGCAGTTTAAGGAAATCTCTGGATGCAAATCCAGAACCTTCTCATGTCAATCAGCCTCACAGAGCATTATATTTACCTCTGTACCACCATCTGGCCCCCAACTTCCTGTTTTAATGTGGGCTGTTTGGGATGGAAGCACCTGAATACAGGTTCTGTCAGGAAAGACGACAGTGCCTATAAGAGAAGATCCTCAATCCATATTTTTTGAGTAAACGAATGAGAGTTACTAAAGACAAAGTACTAGGTAGAAAAGACTCTCAGAGCTATCGTTAAGCTATTGGCGAACCTTAGGTGTATCCCATGGCTACCAGAACAAAAAGAACATGAAAACCAGCCCATCACCGGTTTGAGATGGGGATATTTCAGTTCTCACACAAGGAGAACTGGAAATTTACATAAGATCCACAGTAATAGGACTGATATAGATATTCCTTAAACTTTGTTTCTCTATGTAAAGTCATCTTTTTTTTTTTTTTTTGAGAAATTTTTGCTATAGGGCATGTGCACTTGCCAGACAGACAGAGAGAGACATAGAGACAGAAAGCGAGAAATCACCCCCCAGGGGGGATGGTCACGCCGCAGTCCCTTCTCCTCCCTTCTCCTCTCGGGATCTTGGGCACGCATGCACACATGTCCGGCATGAGTTTTTTAAGCTACTGGGTCCGGGAAGTGAACCGCGGTCGACTACGTGGGAGTCCAGCGACATAGCCATTACGCTAACTGCTGGTTCCCATAAAGCCATCTTTTGAACCCTTGAAGACAATTTCTCTTCAAACCAATACCATTTATAACACTTTACTCTTTAAGGATTTTCAAAATAATCTGAGTTATCGGGTCTTTTCTTTCTTTTTGTATTTTTTTGCCCCATATCCAGCCACCTCTTAGAGAGATGCTTGTAATGTGGTAAAGGATGGCTCATGTGTT